AAACAATAACACACCAGATCCACAGAGCTGGAAAGGAAGACACATGAGCAACCTGAAAAGACAAGGGAAGAAAGAACCACAAACAAATCAAGACAACACATCATTGGAAGAACTGACAGCTATAGCAGAAAAAATTGCAGATAAAGATTTCAGGATATACATGGTTAAAATGTTTTGGGATCTCAAAGAAGACATAGGAGAACAAAATCACTTTGACATTGAGCTACATAAACAAATCCAAGAAGCAAAACATCACCTCAACAGGGAGATAGAGGTTCTACCAAACAAAAACTAAACAAACAAACAAACAAACAAACAAAAAAACAGAAATCCTTGAAATGAAAGAAATAATAAACCAAATTAAAAACTCAAATGAAAACATCACCAACAGAGTAGACCACTTAGAAGATAGGACATCAGACAATGGAGATCAAATAAATCATCTTGAAAAGAACCTAGACCACACAGTGAAAATGATAAGAAACTATGAGCAGAACATTCAAGAAATATAGGAAAGCATAAAAAAGACCAAATTTAAGAGTTATTGGGATAGAGGAAGGCATAGAGATCCAAACCAAAGGAATGAACAATCTATTCAATGAAATAATATCAGAGAACTTACCAAACATGAAGAATGAATTGGAAATCCAAATTCAAGAAACCTACAGGACACTGAATGTACAAAAATCACAACAAACCCACACCAAGGCACCTGATAATAAAAATGCCCAACATACACAATAAGGAGAGAATTTTAAAAGCCACAAGAGAAAGGAATCAGATTACACATAAGGGAAAACCAATTGGGATAACGGCAGATTTTTCAACATAGACCCTGAAAGCTAGAAGATCCTGGAACAACATATATCAAGCTCTGAAAGATAATGGGTGCCAACTAAGGATCTTGAACCCAGCAAAACTAAGCTTTAGACTTGAAGATGAAATAAAAATCTTCCATGATAAACAAAAGTTAAAAGAATTTATAACTACAAAACCAGCACAACAAAACATTCTTGGCAAAATATTTCATGAAGAGGAAATGAAAAACAGCAATGAAAATCAGCAGAGGGTGGTAGTACACCAAAKAAAAAACTGATCAAAGAGGAAAACCAATTCAAGTAAAATAACAAAAATAAACAAATATGGCTGGAAATACAAACCATGTCTCAATAATGACCCCAAATGTTAATGGCTTAAACTCACCAATCAAAAGACATAGGCAAGCAGATTGGATTTTAAAAAGACCCAACAATATGCTGTCTCCAGGAGACTCGTCTGATAGGAAAAGACGTACACAGACCGAAGGTGAAAGGTTGGGAAAAATCATACCACTCTCATGGATTGCGGAAGCAAGCAGGGGTTTCCATCCTCATATCAAATAAAGTAGATGTCAAGCCAAGGTTAATCAAAAGGGATAAAGATGGACATTACATACTGCTCAAGGGCACCATACACCAACAAGACATAACAATCATAAATATTTATGCCCCAAACAATGGTGCAGCTATGTTCATAGAACAAACTCTTCTCAAGCTCAAGAGTCAAATTGACCACAACACAATAATATTGGGTGACTTTAACATACCTCTCTCACCACTCACTGGATAGATCTTCCAAACAAAAGTTGAATAAAGAAACTRTAGAACTCAATAACACAATCAATAACTTAGACTTAACTCACATTTTTAGAATATTTCAACCTGCTTCAAGCGGATATCCTTTCTTCTCAGCAGCACATGGATCCTTCTCTAAAATAGACCATATACAATGCCACAAAGCAACTCTTAGCCAATACAAAAAAGTAGAGATACTACCATGCATTTTATCAGATCGTAATGGAATGAAATTGGAAATCAATGACAAAATAAAAAATATAAATTTCTCCCTCACCTGGAGACTACACAATATGTTATTGAATGAACAATGGGTCACAGAAGACATCAAGGAGGAGGTTTAAAAATTCTTAGAGGTAAATGAGAACACAGACACAACATATCGAAATCTCTTGGACACTATGAAAGCAGTACTAAGAGAAAGTTCATTGCATGGAGTTCACTTCTTAAAAGAAGAAAAAGTCAACAAATAAAAGACCTCACACTACATCTCAAAGCCCTAGAAAATGAAGAACAAACCAGCAGCAAAATCAGTAGAAGGCAAGAAGTAATTAAAATCAAAACTGAAATGAATCAAATCGAAACAAAAGAAACAATTGAAGAAATAAACAAAACAAAAAGTTGGTTCCTTGAAAAAATAAATAAAATTTACAGACCATTAGCCACGCTAACGAAGAGGAGAGAGAGAACTCAAATTACCTGCATACGTGATGAAACAGGTAATATCACAACAGACGTTACAGAGATACAGAGGATAATTAGAAAATATCTTGAAATCGTATACTCCTATAAAATAGAAGACACTGAAGGCATCAACAAATTTCTTAAGTCATACTATTTGCCCAGTTTGAGTCAGGAAGATATACACAATTTAAATAGACCAATATCAAGTGAGGAAATAGAAGAAGCCATCAAAAGCTTAGCAACCAAGAAAAGCCCAGGATTAGATGGATACACAGCTGAGTTCTGCAAGATCTTTAAAGAAGAACTAATACAAATACTCTTCAATTTATTTTAGGAAATAGAAATAGCGGCAGTAATTCCAAACTCATTCTATGAGGCCAATATCACCCTGATAAAACCAGGCAAAAACACATCAAAGAAAGAAAACTTCAGGCCAATATCTCTAATGAACATAGATGCAAAAATTCTCAATAAAATTCTGGCAAATCAAATGCAAAAACATATCAAAAAGATTGTGCACCATGATCAAGTGGGATTCATCCCAGGGATGCAAGGTTGGATCAACATATGGAAATCAATAAATGTGATTCATCACATCAGTAGACTTAAAGATAAGAACCATATGATCATCTCAATAGATGCAGAAAAAGCATTTGACAAACTACAGCACCCCTTTATGTTCAAAACACTAGAAAAAAACAGGGATAACAGGAACATATCTCAACATTGTAAAGGCTATCTTCACTAAGCCTCAGGCCAATATCATTCTAAACCAGGAAAAATTGAAGGCATTCCCTCTAAAAACTGGAACAAGACAGGGATTCCCTCTTTTGTGACTTCTATTCAACGTAGTTCTTGAAACACTGGCCAGAGCAATTATCTTATATTAGAGAAAGGTGCCAAAAACATGTACTGGAGAAAAGATAGCCTCTTCAACAAATGGTGCTGGGAAAACTGGAAATCCATATGCAACAAAATGAAATTAAATCCATATCTCTCCCCATGCACAAAACTTAACTCAAAATGGATCAAGGACCTAGAAATTGAACCAGAGACTCTGCATCTAATAGAAGAAAAAGTAGGTCTTAATCTTCATCATGTGGGATTAGGCCCCAACTTCCTTAATAAGACTCCTATAGCRTAAGAATTAAAACCAAGAATCAATAAATGGGATGCAATCAAACTAAATAGTTTTTATTCAGCAAAAGAAACAATCTGTGAGGTGAACAGAGAGCCTACATCCTGTGAGCAAATCTTTACCCCTCACATATCAGAAGAGCACTAATCTCTAGGGTATATAAAGAACCCAAAAAGCTAAGCACCAAAAAAGCAAATAACCTAATCAACAAATGGGCCAATGACCTGAACACCACTTCTCAGAAGAGGATATACAATCAATCAACAAATACATGAAAAAATGCTCACCATCTCTAGCAGTCAGAGAAATGCAAATCAAAACGACTCTAAGATATCATCTCACTCCAGTCAGAATGGCAGTTATTATGAAGACAAACAACAAAGTGTTGGCGAGGATGTGGGGAAAAGGGTACACTCATACATTGCTGATGGGACTGCAAATTAGTGCAGCCAATATGGAAAGCAGTTCGGAACCACCATTTGACCCAAATCCCTCTCCTCGGTCTATACCCAAAGGACTTAAAAACAGCCCCAGGGACAGAGCCACATCAATGTTTGTAGCAGCACAATTCACAATAGCTAAACAGTGGAGCCAACCTAGATGCCCTTCAGTGGATAAAAAAATGGATAAAAAAATGTGGTATATATACACAATGGAATTTTACTCAGCAATAAAAGAAAATAAAATCATGGCATTTGCAGGTAAATGGACGTTGCAGAAGACAATGCTAAGTGAAGTTAGCCAATCCCAAAAAACAAATGGCAAATGTTTTCTCTAATATAAGGAGGCTCACTCAGTGGGGTAGGGAGGGGGAGCATGGGAGGAATAGATGAATTCTAGATAGGAAAGAGGGGTGGGAGGGAATAGGGGATCAGTAAGGATGGTGGAATGTGATGGACATCATTATCCAAAGTACATGTATGAACAAAAATTGGGTGTTAACCTATTTTACATACAGAGACATGAAAAATTGTGGTATGTATGTGTAATAAGAATTGTAATGCATTCCACAGTTGTGTATTTAAAAAAATAACATCAATTAAAAAAAAGATTTCTGGGGCCAGGTCACGGCCTGTGGACATCACCGTCAGATTGAGGACACATTTCCAGGACCAGGAACCATTCAGGAYTCTAGGGCCACTGTGCCAACCTGGGGTCAGGCCTAGACTGGGCTCATGGAGGGGCAGTTCCAGGTTGGCGTCCGACGGGGCAGGCCCAGTGCTGAGGACACAGGCTCTGTGWCCCCTTCCCACTGGTGACAACCTGACCACAAGGAGAAGAGGAGGAGTGACAGGGCCAGAAGGAAGCCTGGCCCTGCAGGCCTGGGGTGAGGGCAGTCCTGCCGGCTGGGGGCCAGGCGGGTCCCATCCACCACACCTTCCCCTCCCTGGCTTTCCTAGGACAGCACAAGCCCAGGGCCACCTCGGGGGCTGCTTGGCCCCTGCACTTTCTCCATTTTCTCCCCAGCCCCAGGAACTGACTAAAAAGGACAAGCGGGAAGCAGCTGCCCCAGAGAAAAGCAGAAGTGGGAGCCCTGGAGACTGACCCTCCCCAGGGGGCTGGAGCCTCAGGTCCAGTAGGGCCTGGCGCCCGGCGGTGACATCTGTGCAGGAGAAATGAGCCCCAGGGGCCTGATGGCCTGGCCACCCTTGGCTCTGCTGCTTCTCTGGCTCCCAGGTGAGGGCCTCTGTCCAGGGAGGGTCTGCAGAAGGGAGGGAAGGCAGGAGGGGGGCCAGGAGACGTCACGTGAGGAGCCCCAGCTGCACATCTCTGTGCAGATGCAGAATGGGGTGCGCTGTGTCCATGATGTAAGATGGACTCGCCAAACACCAAACCCCTGGGAGGGAAGGGGCAGGGGGCTCCCGTGAGCCCACCTGACCTTGGAGGAGCCAGCGTGCTGCCCAGGGAAAGGGTGCTGCCCAGGGGGGCCCTGAGAGAGGTCTGGGGGAACAGGACAGGGGGAGCAGGGCCGGTGGACGGAGATGGGGTGGAGAGGGCACCAGAGCACACCTGGGGCCTGTGTTGGGGAGGCCCCCCAGGTCCACCAGTTTGGGGTACAGAGGAAGGAGGGGACGAGGAGGAGAAG